TTGCCAGGATTAGAAAGGAACCTACTGACAACGCCAACTGCATGAGCAATATCTGGCCTTGTACATACCATAGCATACATTAAACTACCAACTGCTGAATTGTAAGGGACTTGTTGCATACTTGCCTTTTCTTCCTCTGTAGAAGGACTTTGCTTACTACTTAATTTAAAGTGATTAGCAAGAGGAGAACTAACCGCTTTAGCATTGTCCATGTTAAACCTACAAAGTATTTTCTCAATGTACTTCTCCTGAGACAACCACAACTTTCTGGCATTCCTGTCTCGTGTAATTCTTATCCCAAGAATCTGTTTTGCTAGCCCCAAGTCTTTCATAGCAAAAGACTTGCTCAACTGTTCCTTTAGTTGATTAATTCTAGAAGCACTCGTGTCGAAGATCAACATATCATCAACGTACAACAGGAGAATAATAAAATCATCATCAGAGAGTTTTTGAAAGAACACACAATGGTCAGAAGTAGTCTTCATGTAACCTTGCTTCGCCATAACTGACTCAAACTTCTTGTACCACTGCCTTGGTGCCTGTTTTAAGCCATATAGACTCTTCTTTAGCTTACAGACATAGTCCTCTTTTCCCTTGACTTCAAAACCTTCTGGTTGCTCTATGTATATTTCTTCATCCAAATCACCATGAAGAAAAGCAGTCTTTACATCCATTTGCTCAATTTCTAAATCTAGGCTGGCTGCTAGTCCAAGAACAACACGGATTGAAGACATTTTAACAACTGGAGAAAATATCTCATCAAAGTCAATACCTTTTCTCTGGTTGAATCCCTTGACAACCAGTCTAGCTTTGTACCTTGGTCGTGAGGAGTGTTCTTCCTGCTTCACTCTGTACACCCACTTGTTTGTCAAAGCTCTCTTACCTTTAGGTAGCTTTACTAACTCAAAGGTATTATTCTCATACAAGGATTTCATCTCATCTTTCATGGCTTCAATCCACTTTTCCTTGTGTTCATCCTCCACAGCTTCTGCATAACATTCTGGTTCACCATTATCAACAAAATTAATTTCATAAATATCAGAAGAGTACCTTGTGGAAGGCTGTCTAACTCTTGAACTTCTTCGAAGCTGAGGTGGAGTTGAAGCTTCTGGAACTGGGAGTTCATCATCATTAATGGAAGCATCAGTAACATCTTGCTGCTCAATTTGGTCATCCTCTCCAACCTCTTCAGGAACCACTGTTGGAGGTACTATCTCAGTATCAACTGAATCACCGTTATGAGATCCCAATTCTTTAACCCGGTCAATATCCTCTATGGTTTGATTCTCCACGAACACAGCATCTCGGCTTCTCACAAGCTTCTTTTCAACCGGATCATAAAATCTGTAACCAAAGTCATCTAGACCATAGCCAATAAAGACACACTGTCGTGTCTTAACATCAAGTTTCGATCTTTCATCTTTCGGAATGTGCACAAATGCTTTGCACCCGAAGACACGTAGATAATCATAGGAAACATCATTTCCTGTCCATACCCGACTTGGTATGTCAAACCTTAAAGGAGCACATGGTGAGAGATTCAACACATGCGCAACAGTACTTAGTGCCTCAGCCCAGAATGTCTTTGGTAACTTTGCATGTGACAACAAACATCTAACTCTCTCAATCAAAGTCATGTTCATCCTCTCAGCAACACCATTTAACTGAGGAGTCTTTGGTGGTGTTTTCTTATGGCGAATACCCTGCTCTACGCAATACCTATTGAGTGGCCCAATATACTCTCCTCCATTATCTGACTTTATGCATTTTAGCTTCTTCCCAGTCTGTCTCTCAACTAGGGTATGAAATTGCTTGAATATGTCCACAACTTGACTTTTATGCCTCAAAGAATAAACCCATAATTTCCTTGAACAGTCATCAATGAAGGTAACAAAATAGCGAGCACCACCAAGTGACCTAGTTTTGAAAGGTCCACACACATCAGAGTGTATCAGTTCCAATACCTCTGGTTTCTTCTTAGTCTCAGCAGAACTTTTAAAGGATACTCAGTTCTGCTTCCCTGCTAGACAATGAGCACACCTCTTCAAATGAACATTGTTCAACCCAGCTAAGCTCTTTTTTCTGACCAGCATGGACATCCTCTCCTCAGATATATGTGCAAGCCTCTTATGCCATATATCATTCGTATCATCGTTCTCAACCGTATTGACAATATTTCCTGAGATCTTGGCCTGTAAAACATAAAGTGTAGAACACTTTGTGCCTCGAGCCACAACTAGAGAACCTCTTGTGAGTTTCCATTGGCCATTTTGGAAAGTATTACAATACCCTTCATCATCTAATTTTCCAGCAGAAATTAAATTATACCTGATATCTGGAACATGCTTCACATTTTTCAGAAGCAACTTGGTGCCATTGTTGGTTTCTAACTGAACATCGCCAACACCAACAATCTTTGCATTACCATCATTGCCCATTTTCACAACTCCAAAATCACCTGTTGCATAACTAACAAAAAAATCCTTTCGAGCTGTAGCATGAATGGATGCACCACTATCAATTACCCAGTTTGTATCATGACTTACCAAATTAATGGCATCTGTGTCACCATCATAGAAGATAAGAAAATCATGTTCAACTGTAGCAGCTACACTATCATCATCGCTACCATTATTCTTTTCAGAGTCTTTATTTTTCTGATTTTCTTTCTTCCGTAGTCGGCAAAATTTCTTAATATGCCCCTTTTTGTGACAATGATAACATTCAACATTAGCAAATTTATTAGATTTACCTCTACTGTTATCTCTGTTTTTATCTTTACTCCTTGGACCCTTGCTTTGACTTCTCTCCCTATTTGTTGTAGCCAAGACCTCTGAATGTTGAGAGGAAGTACCTTGTGACCTTCGTCTCATCTCTTCATTCAGGACACCACTTTTAACAAGTTCCATCGTTACAACACCGTTAGGAGCAGAATTAGTCAAAGAAATTTTTAAAGTTTCCCAAGAATCCGGCAATGATGCTAGTACCATAAGAGCAAGGACCTCATCATCAAAATTAACTCCCATACCTGACAATTGATCAACAATCCCTTGAAAATCATTCAAGTGATCCGCAACAGAACTACCCTCTTTATATCTCAACTGCACCAATTTTGTGAGATAAAACAGTTTGTTGTTGCCAGTCTTTGAAGCATATAAATCTTCAAGTTTACTCCACAGTGTCCTTGCGTGGGTTTCACTACAAATATGATTATACACATTATCTTCAACAAATTGCCGAATAAAACCACATACCTGTTCATGCTCAAAGGCCCACTCTTCATCTGATTTATTTTCAGGTTTCTGGGTAGCAAACACGGGTAAATGCAACTTCATCACATATAGTAGATCTTTTATCTTATTTCTCCATATGTGATAATTTATGCCATTCAAACTTGTAATTCTATTGAACTTTCCTTCCATAGCTTCGCACTTGAACAAGGCTCTGATACCAGTTGTTGGGAAGAAAGCTCGCAAGAATATATAATTAGCACAATGAAAATAAATAAACGGCACCAAGAAGAACACCAAGAATTTTAACGTGGAAAAACCTCCTCAAGGCAAGGAGTAAAAAACCACGGGCACAACAGAGGAGGCTTCTCTAATTCAACAATTAGAGGCAACACAAAATACAAGAGAAAATAACATACCCCGAGGCACAAGAATTTCTACGAAATCCACCAACTTCTTCTCGGCTAATTTTCTCACACTTGTATATCTCAACAAATTTTCTCTCCTCTCTTTTTCTTCTTCTTGAACTCTCTCATCTCCAAGGTAGCCAAATCCATGGCCTTTATATAGGCTTTACAAAGCCAACTCTTTTGTCTTTTCATTTGCCCACTTTAATCTCCCATTAAGTGGACATGAATGAAGCCATTAATCAAAAAAACCTTTCACTTCATCTTCCAAGATTAATTGTTAAGCTTTTGGTCACCACCCTACCCACATTGGTGGGACCATCTAGCAACAACATGAAATAGCTAGCTAGAGACGAAAATTACTATTTATCTATAATATAATTTAGAAACTAAAGATGTAACTCTTTTGTATTTATTCCTCTATATATATGGTCCTGCTATCAGTGACAGAGCCAAAGGGGGCAGCTCCCCCCTCTCACCCCTGTCCCCCTCACCCCACCCCCACGCCATATATAATCTTTGTATGTATATATGCATATATAGTATAGATTTTTGTATTAGTATAAAAGAACTAGTAAATGTTAACAAGTAAAGATTTAGGGTGTGTTTGGTTCGCACATAGGAATCGGAATTGGAATGGGTATCAAATACTTGGTAATGGTAATGGGTTTTGGTGAAAGTATTTAACATGTTTGGTACTAGGGTGGAATGGGAATGGTTACTAATAGTAGTGGTTAATAATGAATAAGGGAATGAAACTCTTATTGTATTTGGGTATGGGTTTTTCAATTGATGGGGTATTCGAAACCCATAGTAGTGTTCTAAAAACCTATTAACCAAACAACAACAATCACTTTCATACACATTCCTATGGGCAAAACCCACCAACCAAACACACCCTTAGATTAGTTGGTAAGGTATGTGTTTGTTAATTGGAAAGGTCTTGGGTTCAAATCTTTGTATTAATATTATTTTACATATTTTTTAATTCTTCCCTTATATATGGCTTCAACACAGTCACTTATTTAATATGTGTAATTTATAATGTGTTTTCTATTCAAATTATTTTATCAAATTAATTATGTTTCATATTTTGTTATGAATATTTTTATAAAGTTTTTTTATTTTTCTCACATATCTAACAATATTTACAACTATATTTCTAAGTAATGGTTATAAAAGAAAAAAAAAATTCTTAGGTAATTTATTTATTTTTTAAAAAAATTATCTCTTTTGTTTTAATGTTTCGCTTTTACTGGAAAAAGTTTATGAATCCGTCCTACTTCTTCGTCCCCTCAATCGAATTTCTGGCTCCGTCCCTACCTGCTATATATTCTTCAATTCCTAGCTCCATAGTGCTGAAGATTCAAGGCCAAAACAAGAGATGGAGAGACATTCAATCAAGCTGCTGCTCTTACTAGCCTTTTTCATGGTTGCATCTTGTTAGTTCTCTCTCTCCCTGTGTCTACACACACACACACATATATATATATATACTGCCTTTATTTATCCATATTTGGATTAACATAAATTATGATTAAGTGAGATTATTTATACATGTTGCAGTGTTGCCATCAATTATGATGGCACAGGTAAGTGTAGGACCAAACAAGAAGCAATTGTTTATGACTGGGCAGCTTTGCAAGTCTCATGATGACTGCAAAGCCAATAGTGTATACTCAACCAACTTCTGCATCAACGAAATCTCTGGATCTGAAATCGGTCATTGTGTTGGATTTGACTCCACTTTGGGTAATTTTTTTAGCCTAACTCTACATATTCCTCTTTGTTTTTATTTATTTTTATTTTTATTAATAAATATGAAAAATCTAAGGTTGGAGTCATCAACATGTTATTTTAAATTTGATTCCAATTTCATTTTACTACCAAATTAAACAAATAAACTTATTCTACTTAAATCTATTATTATTACAAAGGATTTGATTTCATTTACCGTTCTGATTCTAATATTTGAACCAAATCAATCTAATTAATATCAGAAATGGTGGTGAAGAAAAGCAAGGCAAAGGAGGGTGGTTGTGGGAAGTGTGAAACCGACGACGATTGCAAGAATTGTCCAGCAGCAGCTAGTTGCGAGAAATATATTATGAACGGCACTTGTGTGTGATCTTGTTCTGCTCGATATTAAAGATTTGCTACGTTCAACTTTATGTGTAACTATCTCTTATGTTTAATCGCATTAAAGATTTGCTACGTTCAACTTTATGTGTAACTATCTCTTATGTTTAATCGCACTGCGAATACAGCTGCCCATAGTTTAGCTAGGGAAGCTTGTTCTATGTCTGTGCGTCAAGAGTGGACGTCTTCCCCTCCTTTTATTGTCAAGGCTTTGTACTCAGATTTGAATTAATGAACTATATATTCCCAAAAAAAAATAAATAAATAAAAAATCCTTATGACTTGTTAAAAGAAGAAAAACACTCCGTTGGCTTTCCTGTAATAGGTAATAGAAGAAAAATAGTACGGAGTATATCACTGAAGAGGGAGATAGAAGGATGTACCAAACCATCCAACATTTGTTGTGGAGGATGTAAGTGTACAAGTTTAGTACACATTAAAATCTTGATTGGCTAATTTATTTAGTTTTAATTTAATTAGATTTAATTATATTTAAGATTAATTTAAATCTATTTGGACCATTTCCTATCTTATAAGATTACTAGTTTTTTACGCGCATTGCGCGAATGAGATAATGCCCAATGTTTTTTTAAAATAAGTATTTTAAAGTATATCAAGGCAAGATTATATTGGAATTGTTCATGCATAAATAATTAAATGTTGAATTTGAGTATTTAAATTGGTATTTCTAAGTTTACAAATGCAAGATAATATAGTCAAGATTGATTATAATTGTCAATAAAATAATTGTATGGGTATGGTTGAAACCAAATACGGGACATAAGGGAGAGCAAATAAAAATTAGAGCATAAAATATTAAATATATACTAATATTGTTTGAGGAGATTCTGGCAGTAGGATTTATGGTTAGAGTTATATAAAGACTTTAATATTAGAATTAGATTAATGTTGTAGTTATAATTCTATATTAGACTTTAATATTAGAATTAGACTAACGATGAATTAACGGTACTTAATAAAAAAGTTAACGGATCGGATAATCATATAATTAAGGATAAATTAGGAAATCTCAAAGAAAAATTAAAATCTGAACAATCTGAACTATTCATTTGATTTAATAATTTGACGGTCATTTTTTCTACCCAATGTTTATAATTAAATAAATATTTGAAAGTATATCAATGCAAGATTATATACGGGAAGTTCAACATATGTAATTTAATGTCTAATTTGTTTATTTCAATATGTAATTCATAGTATATGAATACAATGTAATATAGGAGATTCATTATAATTGTTACTAAACAAATGTTAAATAGTAACCAAGTATTTTTGTTGCAAAGGGTTCTAATATATTTAATGAATGCACATATATACAAGATCAATGAATGAATCAACAGTACCAGTCCTTTAGGTGTTTTGCTCAGTGTTCATTTAGTTCAACCATTATTGTTGAATAAATTATTATAGATAAAGAAATTCCTAATTTAAGGAATTTAGATGTAGTAAAAATTTAAAATTTTTAATTATAATGTAACACAAAGATATTGGACAATTAGAAAATATGATGTAACCCAAAGATTAAAATGCTAAAGAAAATGTTTTGGTTATTCAACAGTTTGAAGCAATAATTTGTTCCAAACCACTGAAAATACAAACATTGCAATTTACAATATTTTCACTTAGTGTTTTTGAGAATGATTTTCCCAAAACACATCTATATTAAAAAAAATTATTATTAAAATAATAATAATTATTATTATTATATGTATATCATTAGGTCATTTTAAATGTTAATTTAAACAGTTAATTTTTTTAAATATCTTTTTACCAATCGTTGATATAATTCGCTGGTCAAATCCGATAATATAATCCGTTGACGCTAACCACTAACTGCTGATTGTCAAACAAGGACATTGCGAGGTAGTTTCTCACTTCAATTTGTTGTGTGATTTGAATACTCTCTTTGTCAACAAATCATTCAAGTAGTTAATATGATTAGCTTTATTAATTTAAATTTTTTAAATTTTTTCATGGTATTAATAAAATACTTGGTAAATAAATATATATCATTATTTTGTATTATAACTTTGATATTTAATTAAAAAATAGTGCACAAAAAAAAAAAGATAATAGACAATGTACCGAATATAATTAATTGATGAATTTGAATGTAAAGAATTTTTACATTGGAGAAAAATAAAGAGAATATAACTAATGAAATTATTTCTCTTAATTAATTTATTGATAATGAATAATTTTTTTTTTAATAAAGACATTGTAGGGACAATGTAGCGAATATAATCAATTGATGAATTTGAATTTTGAATGTAAAGAATTTTTATATTGGAGAAAAGTAAAGACAATATAACTAATGAAATTATTTATCTTATTTAATTTATTGATAATGAATAATTTTTTTTTGAATAAAGGCATTGAAGACACATAATTTTAAATTAAAGAAATGCATATGTATTATTTTTCGTTTTAGCTACTAAATTATTATTTATAATTTAATAAGAGTAAGATAGAGTACTAATTATGGCAACTTTGATTGGGATGAGATTCGAACCTAAGACATTTCTTATTTAAATCAATGAGTAAGTTAACGGTGAACTAACATAAACTAACGGAAAAGATAATATTTAACGGAAAAGTTAACGGATAATCACATTCATTAAGGATAAATTAAGAAATCTCAAAGAAAAATTAAAATCTAATCAATCTGAGCCATTCATTTGATTAAAAAATTTGACCGCCATTTTTTCTACCCATCTACCCATTATAGGCCTAACTCTCTTGGGCTCTTATTAGTATATATATATATACTAGATTTTAAGTGGCTATCATTTATTGAAAATTTAAGAAAACCTAACTCTCTTGGGCTCTTATTAGTATATATATATATATACTAGATTTTAAGTGGCTATCATTTATTGAAAATTTAAGAAGAGAAAGTCAGCAGAGCACTCTCTTAGGCTCTTATTAGTATTAGTATAGTAGATTTTAAGTGACTATCATTTATTGAAAATTTAAGAAGAGAAAGTCAGCAAAGCATTCAGTGAAGGAAGTTCAAAATAGAATGTGTGGATGTGGTTTGTTGAAGATTAGAATGTGTGGATGTGGTTTGTTGAAGATTATGAATGTTATCTTTATGGATCAAATCTGGTAGATTAAAAGTTTTTATAAAAGGAAGATTCTTTTTTAGAAACTGAGGAATTGAGAACTCTTATTCTAAGTAAAAAAATATTTTACAAGCTCTTATATTATCTCTTTGATTATATTATTGTAGTTTAATTCTGGACTACACAGACAGTACCTAGTACGGCAAAAGAGCCATTTATACTTACCTCTTATAATACTCCTTGGTAAATATCTATAGTGGATTAGACAGACGTAAATTGTCCCGCAGACGTAGGAAAAGCGCTCCGAACTGCATAACAATTCTCTTGTGTTATTGTTTTATTTTACACTTTCAATTTTCGTTATTTACATTTGATTAACAAATATAATTAATGAAGGCAATTGTTGCATAACATAAAATCAGTGAAATTATAAGATTCATCTTGTATTCAAGATTCACGGTGCAATTTCAGAGGAAGCTCACTACATCCTTCCCCATATGTTTCTAAATCCTTCTTCGTGATTATTCAAATATTCTTCCTAACTCCATCCCAACAAAATTTGAAATATATTTATATATAGTGAACAACAAAAGTTTGAACCAATATATTCAATCTTTCAATTCTTACTCAAAAACTAGCATATCCAAGAAACTCACAAATTATAAAAGGTAGATTGCTGTTCAACAACATATAAACGGATAGGATTCAAGTACTCTTGTGGCTCCGGGCCTGAATTCATAATTGGAAGAACAAGAATAAATTCCTTCACTGTAGAAGCACAACCCCTTCAATATGAATAGCAGAACAAACAAATCTGGAAATGTATTTTTATTAATACCGATCAATGGAGATGGCATGTATATCTTATCTTAGCTCGAAGGCAGTTTCATTTGCACCAGTTCAGATGGAGGGCGTAAAATACAGACCATTTCCTTTGTCTTTCCAAAATAAACCTGCAAGTTTCAGGCTCTATGTTAAATATGTTATATCCCAAAGGAAAGGTTGTGATTAGCTGATGGTAGGAATTTGAAAACATTTTGCACAATGGCATTCAAGTAAAATATTACCTGATCAAGGGAGTTCCTAAGTTTGCCCTCCATTTCCTCAATCATCCTTCCCATGTTGCATAAATGACCCTCCGAGAGAGGGAATTGCATATTCATCTATTAGATATAGGGAACATTAATTAAAAAAGTAGCACCAATTACTAATCAATAAGTTCATGTGAAAAGCAGGATCGGAACAGAAAAATGCCAAGGAATTCAACCATGTAAGCCATCCACATTACTACTGAATTGTTAATATTAGTGAACATGCATAATGGAGAGATTTAGGCCTTGTTTATTTTTTGGTAACTCAAAGGTCGGTCAAGTTGAAATTGTGATCTTAGTTCTAGGAGGCCACACCTTGACAAGTAGGTTAAGCCACGAGTCATCAACAAATTAGCATAGTTATTTGTGGGGCAAAGTAAAAGTGAACCGTAATGCAAGAATAATAGCCAAAAGTATTCTTCGTAAACAAAAGAGAGCACTATTACAGGTATGGTTAACCTTTAAGAGGAAATGACTGTACAGATTTTACTAATTGGGGTTCATTTTGAATTGTTTTCAAAGCTATTATCATTTCCCAAGTTCAAGAGAATGTACCAGTGAACTCAAGGTCCTGAGACCATCCAGAATACATTTAATCATTTATCTAGGAGTGGAAAATTTTAAAACAAGTTAATTCCAGGAATGGTCCCTTGACTATTGACATTTACTAATTTTTATCCTTTTGACTTCCAATTGGACCATAAATGGTCCCTTGACTATTGATATTTACCTATTTTCATCCTCGACTTTCAATATGACCATAAATGGCCCCTTGACTATTGATTTTGTTTCAAATTTGGTCCTTCAGTTAAATATTCATTTAATAAACATTAAATTTAAGAATAATAATGTAAAAATTAGCTTCTTGTTGAGATGGACAAATTGAGTTCATAAATTTAATACATTGAGTTCATCATTGTGAAAAACTAAAATTTTTACATTATTACCCTTAAATTTAATGTTTATTAAAATGATATTTAACTAGAGGACCAAATTTGGAAAAAATCAATAGTCAAGGGACCACTTATGG